GATTACAAAATCCCTCTCAAATCAGCAACTGTCCCCATCACACTTATGTCTCCTAAGCCTCACTGACATGCTCTGCTCCTCTAAGCCAACAGCATGTTTAGTTTCTCCATCTGGTTACATGAAAAGAGAGAGAGGGAGAGAGAGTCAGCAGAAAGGCAGAGTAGGTCTATACGTGACATTTTCAGATTTTTTTTTTTGAGTCTTACTAAAGTGACAGTGTAGTTCTAAAAAAATAAATAAAAAATTAAGCTCCTTCCTTCAGTCTTCTTGACTAAAAAAGCCACAGATCCGAGAAGGGGTGGGGGGGTGGGGGGATGGAGTTGGGACGTTATGGGCAGAGATAACACAAGTCAGCCGTCAGCAATGGAGACGTCTCTCTGGGTGATGATGATGCTACATAAACTATAATTCATCCACACATGAACTTGACCACTAATCATAGAAGCGCTTGCAATTTCACAGCAAAGCTGAAGACGGATGTAGCCTGCACATAATGGGGGTTAAAAAGAAGGGGCGGGTGGTGCAGGGTGAAGAGGGGGGGCAACTCATGGTCACAGCTGCAACTTCGCCAAGGGCTAGGAGGCATGCTGCTAATGAAGGGCTATAATCACGTTGCATGCGTTAACCTCCCACACCCAGTCAGATTGACTTGACTTGCCAAAATGTCTTTCCTATGATGGAAGAGGGAAGGGGGGTGGGGGGTGGGAGGGCATTCTGTGTAATGCAAAATAAAGTAAAGCAAATTTATGTGCTAATTTGTTGTGCAATTTCTTACATATCAAGTTAATGTCAACATATCAAGTTCATGTCATAAGAGTCTTGTGTTTTTTTAAAAAATGCTTCAAAAAAGGCTAAGAAATTAGGTTAGTTTAGGTGTAAGGCGTGTTAAGGCAAATACATTTTCAGACACTTATGATAATAAATGCATCACATTCAGCTGTTAGTCAATCAATTACTCTAACAAGGCAGTGAAACAAAAGCAGTTTCCAGCAGTGAAAAGTGAGCGCTAAAGTGCAGAAGTGGAACGCTCGTATGGGGTCTTTCTTTCTTTCTTTTGTCGAGACATCTGCTGGTCCATAACTTCCTACCCCCGGAAAGGGCTATCAGTAGACTCAGGCTATGACTCAGGTCTGCGGCAGCTGCTGGGTCATGACTAAAACCATTTCACAGTTTCCCTGCTGACCTCTATTATGGTTGGCTATTCATATCTTGTGATAAATGGAATCATTATAGAATCATCCGCTCATAGACATTGTTAGAAGATGGAAAGTAACAATGAGATGATTGTATCTAACTGTAACCAACAGTAGTTTAAGGTCTTTCTATCAGCGTCTGTACTTAGTGGTTCAATGATGTAGGGACTAATATGTGGAGGGAAAAGGGGAATAGATCAGTGGTATTATTTTTGATCATGGCTACAAGTTAAAATAAGTCAGCTGAAGAAGTATGGTGTTTTCCTTGAAGTCATTCTGGCCCAAATTACATTTTCTCACATTTACACAGATTTGTTTTTACATGACGGCCAGACCAGGACATGATCGAATGATCTTTCTTATTCCCTTGGGAGGCGTTAAGTTTTAGTAATTTTGTCACCAAATGTCTCTACAGTCTTTTTCTTTGGATAATACCAGTATGGTTTTCCTGCAGTCCAGGTATTTGCCCTATTACAAAAGATGAAGGTAGAACACACTTAGACACCAGCTTAAAGAAGGGAGTTGGGGTAAGGAGGGAATAATTGTCCCTGTCATCCGAGACATCATTCCTGTATTGGACCTGCTAAACCAGATCTCTGCAGAACATCAAGCCCGACAGTCGTACTTAATATTTGATGTGCTGTGCCACCATGAAGCATACTGCCAACTAGAGCAGCCCTGATATAACATGACTGATTAATTATTTTATACATTTTTTAAAGGTTTACATTCCATCACAAGATGTGAAGAAAGGCTTATTAGCATTAGCACAAGGACATTAGGATGAAAATGAGCTGTAAATACATGACAAACATGCCAAGAATTTTCTTACTGCAATCAGAAGTTTCAACTCTCCAAAAGTATGTTGAGAGTTTATAATAACAGGTTAAGGAAAAGAAAGTAGTGCTCATAGGGTTGACTGCACACTATGAGAAGTAAGTGTGCTCTTGTGA